ACATGTTCAACATTTGCCAACTCTCAAATAATTGGGGCGAACGTTAACATGATTTTGTTTCACGTAACTTGGTGCCGAATTTGTACTGCAAATTTTCAAACTAAATTCACCCACTGCACAAAATTTGCAGCTGATAATGCTTCAAGTCAAAACTGCATTTCAACATGTTAAAATTCGAGGAAAGAACATAATATGTGAATGTTTCTCCGAGTCCATCATTTTATTCCAACAATATCCTTTCCGCAGAAAGAGTGCAATATGTAAATGTATCTCCTACTTGATCATGTTTTTCAACACCATCCAGTCCGTGGAAAGAATGTGACATAGTTTCTCTGCAACAGTAGTGCCCAGTTGGGCCAGCTCATTAACCCTATACGTGCACAAGCACACACAGGTGTGCAGTTCGCGAAGTTATCAACCTCTCAGCATTAACAGACTTTCCGTTAAAAAAGCGGACTTTCCGCGGAAGAACGATAAGGCATGACAGTACAGTGGTCCATGCCATATTACTTAATACATAGATATACAAAGAAGTCAGGCCAATGCAACTCACTTTCTATGGGTTACATGCTTTAGTGGCTGTACATTGTGTATGAAAACTTCAAAATAAGGGGGTCATCAGGTCAACTCGTACGGCAAACAAAGTCTAAAGCTTGACCAAGAGACAATTCGTATCTCTTACTTTTGATAAATCAACGCACAGAATCTGTCGAATATTCACAAAACAGTCAGTCTATTACATACTCCATGGATATGATAGGTGATAAGTCCTAACTTAAATGTATATACAAAATCTGCACACATTTCTCAACGCAGTTAAGGGCACAACTTATTCCCAGCCTAGGTTGTAAGTCATAGTGACTGGAAAATACTCAAATATTCCAATAAACACATGTCTTAAGCTAAATATAGAAGCAAAGCTTTCTGAGGAAATATCTCTTTTGGATCTAGTCATAGAACATTACTGGCTTGTGGAAATTACAAGATACCAAACCTTCAACATCATAAATTTGTTTGGGCTTCTCAAAATATCCCAGAGTAGACTTCAAACAAGTAAATATCAATCGATACACTTCTTTTCACAATATACAACAAGAGTCACAGTGAAAATGCAATGACTAAACTCCAGAAGAGACACACAATAGTATAAAATGATATAAATAGGAACTCTAACTTACCTAAAATAGAAAGCCAACACTTGTGAACATAGGACGAAGACTTGGATTTGAGGTCCTCCAGTCCAAAGAAAAATGGTGCAGCGTGCAGACAGAATTCAGGAGGCTTGTAATCAGCATGATGGCAAAGCTTGGAATGCCAAGCTTGCCAAAACTTCGGGGCAAACTGCCACCCAGACATGCCCTTGCCACATGACTAGCTCAGGCTCTCATTGGATAACTTAAAAAATGTCACACTTGACTTCAATACTGATTGGTCATGTAGTATCTAGGTAGATGAGCACTCAGTAGAAATTTATGGCTTTCACAGCTTGGGTAAGGTATGAACAACAACTAGGGATTAAGAGTCCCAACATTCTGCTGATCTCCTGTAAAATTTACCGGGAGTGTACACACTGGTGTTCTACACTGTCGTCAGAGATTAAAGGCAGTGGATACAAAGGGCATCCTGTGATCTCCTAGGAAAGCAGGAATATTAAAGATAAACTGGAGAAAGAGCAGGCTATCTGACAAAAGGAATAGGCAAGATCAAAGGTTCACCACTGGAACACTGCTTATCAGTAAAATGGTCAAAAGCTTAAGAAAGAACAATTAACGTATGCAAAATGAAAAACATAGTCATTAAAAAAAATTAAATTTGAAGATATAACCTAAGACCTCTTTTGGGATGGGGTTTAACAAACATTGTTAACAGAAAGCACTTGAAAGAAGTGATGTGATCCACAAACCGTAGCATATGGAACTTGGCACTGTGTGTAAATCTTAATTGTTTAGTTCCACAGTGCAAGTGGGATTGTGCAGGCATGGCATGTACATATTGTGGACCTGTTGACAAAAGGAGTCCACATAATTAGGGTATGATTGCACATGTCCACACAATGTTTTCCCCTTTCTGAAAAACAGTTTCAAAGGCATTTTGAGGTCAAGGTTATCGTGGCGAAATGAAGAGGAACAGTCCAGGTGATCATCATCAAAAATCCACCTCAAAGGAGTTATCCTAGTTGGAGAAAAAGAAGTATTTCCCTCAAGTTTCCTTAACCACAGGAGAACAAAGGAATGTCCACACTTTGTATGTAAAACAGGTATACATGATTTCATGAAAAGTTGCTTGGCTGTCCTGTGTTTAAATTGTATCATCTTGGATGACGATGATCACAGCTTTTTCAATGGTTGTTCTTTTGCAGTGCTTGGCCAGTCTTAAATGTAGGTTTAAGACCGGCTCAGGAGAATGGATGTGCCTAATGCCCTTGCCTGCAGCTGGGACATGATCAGCATTCAGTCTTCTGAGCTAGTCTTAGTGAACCAGTGATTTTGTTCTAAATTTTACTTTCTTGTTCCCGAAAAGCCCTGTTCATTTATGGTATATTCCTTTTGCAACTTGACCAATAGATTCTCCTTACACATAGATTTGGTGCACGCGTGACAAGCTGCATGCACATAGACTGTTGACTTACCAGAATTGATTAAACTGTCTTGCATCAAGGTGCCAGCATGTGGCATTATCACTTCTCAGCGGGCATTATCAAATGTTAATACAACATCGAGTTGCACGTCGTTTAATAGGGAGACTGTCTGAGGTATTTATGAATACAGTTAGTACCTTCTACCATTTTGAAAAAGTATCTGTCTTTCCTCAGAACTGAGAATAAAACCTTGAAGTTCTCTCACAGCCAAACAACTTTTCATTACCTCCCAAATTATATGTTTCTCACATAAAACTTTGTCAAGTTGAGCAATGACAAGCATTACAGTAGACATAATTAGTTGAATAATCATCCATTTCAAATTTATTGTGTGGAGCTTATTCCAGCTGAAATGTATAGTACGTGAAATCATGCCATTGCATAAAGTTTGGTGAAATCAGCTGTGTACTATCCAATACTATCACGTATATATATGAATGTTCATTTATCCAATCTGAAGTAAAGAAACAAAAGCAAAAAATTACTTTGAGATGTCAAGTTTTAGAAATTTGTCAAACTTAATGTCAATAAGGTTCATGAACAGTTATTAGCTTTCAACTTTAAATAACGGCCAACTTATATTGTTCTTCCCTGTTTTTATTAGAAGCATCTCCAGCTTGGAATTGAATTGAAACTGTGTCATTATTATCCACTTCATGCCGGGGCATTTTTCAATGTTGACGATGCCGGGCCGGCATGACTATCATTTTTTCCATTTTCAAAATCCTTCAAAAATCCATCATTTCCTTTCACGGTTGTTTATAGCTGCACCAAGTAATCTTTAGGTACTAGGTTACCCTCATTGACGCCCGAGTATTTCAGCCAGGCCTGCAGCCTTGTAAAAAGAGCCCAGATTGTGCGGTGTTATGCAACTTTCTTTTGTTCACGAACCTGGCACAGTGCACTGCTGACCTCTTTTCAATAGGGGCCAGATTAGCGTGCAGCGGTGCTGTGTGGCTCATCGCTGCGGTAGTGGAGTGCTTTTGTCCCCGGTGGTAATCCACTCACTATAAATGCCCCAAACCCTGGTATACTGTTTCAAAACAAGGATGGATTATCACCACTTTTGAGAGTGAAAAATGTTGGTAATGCCCAGCAGCCTGGTCTTTTGTTGGGAGTACGGTCTTTTGTTACAGGGCCCTGTTTCCTTTGTCCGAGTTCGGAGACCCCGGCCACGCATATAAACCATACGTCTCCGATTCCGGAGTCCCCGGCAGGAAGTGGTTATTATTATCATTATTATTAAGAAATGCCTTGAACCAAAACATTGTTTTCACAAACAAACCAGTTCATTCCAGAGATGATGTCTCTATGCAAACACTTGCCCTGAAACAAGAGGTATAGCAACAGTTTCTTTTGGCTGGAGCAGAGTCACTGACTCCTGTCAAGTGACTTGGATTAGAGTCGAATTCGAGTTGCTATTTTTGTGACTTGGCTTGTAAATACCAGCTTTGACTTTTGGCTTAACTTGGACTTGCAAAAATGACTTGTTACCAACTCAAGTCAGACGCTACTCTACCAGCCCCATATATTTTTAATTAAGCTATTCAGCTTTACGCCTTACGCATATAGAAAATGAACCTCGGCTTGCGTGACTTCTATTTCATCTAGTCTAGCTGCAGCTTTAGATCAGAGCAGTATGCCTGTCATGCTGGCATGTTGCATTGCCTTGATGCATGACTAGGATAAACGGTGCTCTCAGTATGTCATTATTTCATCTCAATGCTTATTTCCACCCAGCAGAGTATATTTATGAAATTAAAACGGAGGTCCAATGTACGACAGATATGTGATTAACTGCAAAAATTGTAAATACAGCACAAGTGAAAAGGGAAATTACAGAGGCATTGTTAAAATAATTGGAGAAGAGGTGTTCCGCTGTCCGAAATTCGTAAATTTGTAAGTTGACGCCTGGTAATTTGCATATTACAGCTGGAGAAAATAATGTGCAGCTTGACCTGTACTTGGACAAAGAGACTTGTGACTTGACATGTGTTTATACCAAAAGACTTGTGACTTGACTTGTGGCTGGACCTAATGACTTGCAACTTGAATTGGACTTACATATACATGTAATGACTTGTGACTTGACTTGGACTCTCAAAAAATGACTTGCTGCCACCTCTGGGCTATAGAATTCAAATTGTTACGTTTATTTGCAATTTTTTTTCAAATATAACCCATAAAAGGCTTATTTTGTGGCATGTATTGGGTGCTTTCATGTATCATGCCAATTTTAAGCAATCTATTGTATTAAGCTGACATAATGCACACATACCTATACATGCAGGGTAACAAAAGATTAATGCAGTACATTTTATTTTATAAAATCTGACGTTCAAAATTATGTGAACATTTTCAGGGCATTCTTTAGATGTTAACAGCAACTTGGAAGTGTTAAACCTGTCCGGGAACAACATCAGCTCATTTAGAGTAAGTTATAAAACACAACACTTCCTCCTGTTTGTTTTTTCTGGTGTTTCTCGTACGTTTGTTTTTGTGAGTATTTTTTTTGGTTTTGTTGTGTGTGTGTCTGTGTGTCCGGAGTCTACTGCACTCTACCTACCCACACAGTCACTACATATGCAAACTTCCTATGCACATATAGCTATTCGCTGAAAAGATTTGATCATCCATGGTGCCCCTTGACCTCCCTTTATGCACTGCGGTCATGCTGCCATGTTCGTCCTTCTTTTCTCAGCGCCGTATCGCAGTGGACGTGTCTTTTAGACATCTTCAAGTTTTTTAGTGCCTTTTTCGCTACACGGTTCTGTGACTTGAATCATCCGGTTGTATTTCCTTAATAAACTTTTATCTTGTGTGATTTTAATTTTGTTGGTAAAAGTGCTATTACCTTGTTTTTGGTGTCCTTTTCTTTCTTTTTCTGTGTGTGCATTCTGCAGGTGTTTACCGTCAGTGTTACAAGGAACGGTCAAGCCTACACTCCCCGTAGGCCTTGCCGCTTGAGTGGGCACATTCACACGTTAGCGGCCCATACAATCCACACAACCCTAGCTGCATGAGAGGGCGGATTGTTATCTTTAGCAGTTTCCTCTTTAACCGCTCGAGTGGGCGTTTCCTTATTTAAGCAGCCATTGTGGATTACGGCCTAACCACTTGAGTGGGTGATTCTCGATCAAGCGGGAGGGCGGGGACAAGGCCTAGCCGCATGAGTGATTCACTCGTATATGTGGCTCTGACGACGATATAGGCCTTAGCCGTGAGCGAGGGGGGGGTCCCTAACGGGATGTGCCTCCTGCTCGACAGTTGTGCACAGAGCCGACTGATGTGGCTGGATTGAGCCTTCATTGTTCGCATGAGTTCTGATCTCTTACGGAATGAGGGCAAGGCCAAGCCGCATGAGTGGGCGCTCCGTATCCTAAGCAGTTCAGACGAGGACTCCGGCCTTCAACGTGATGCTGGGTTCCGCGGTAGTCAGAAGTCCCCCCGGACATTCTTGACTTATGACCATTCTATTTCTGCCCTCCAATAGACAACTTAGTCAACCGAGCCAGCACCTCCACCGACCATTTAAGATGCAACGAGTCGGCTGATTGACCACCTATGGTTCAGAAAGGCCAGCAGGCCAACGGGGCTCCTCTCTCCCCAGCGCCCACAACAGCTACCGGTCGTCGTAGCTCTGCAGCAGGCAAGGCAGCATCCTCGGTAGCATCAGCCGACCAGACATGTATAGTCGGCCTCATACCAACAATGCCAGGACGAGCCCCCCACATTCTACTGGGTCAGCCCTCTTAATGATTCCTCGGCTCACGGTACCGGGACACCCAACAAGAATTCACTAGGCACCGAGGAGCCTATGGGGCCACTACGCCAGCACGCAAGGCCGCATCCTTGGTAGCATCGGCCGACCAGACATCTAGTTGGCCTCATACCGACAACGCTAGGTCGGTGATTTTCCCCTTTCAATTTTGATTTCCTGGCATGACAGTGATGCTGATCATTCTTGGGCCAAGTTCCTATTGTTTTCGGGACGGCCCTTATAAAGGCAATACCGGGCCACGGAGCCCGCTGGCCATTTGGGCGGTTGGGGCCTCTGAACTCTGTACACCCTGTTTTCCGGCTACCTTCTAGGAAGACTAATTCTACCCTCTTGGTCCCCTGCCCACTCTGGGAATACCCCCTTTTAGAGACAGCGCCGGGCAATGCGGGTACAACACCGCCTGCATCCTGGCATTGGTACCGCCATGAATCACAAATCTCCCTATTCATGCCACATGTCTGACAAGGGTGACGGTAGGAAGACCCCACGTCGCTCATGGGCCAGCCCTACTGAGCGCCCCAATACTCCATACCTTTGTTCTCAGTCACCCTTCGTTGAGGGCATGCAGGTATGGGTAGATAGTACATGTTACAGGGCCACCCCCTGCATCAGTCGGCGTGACTTATCATTATTCTGTGCATCAACCCTCCACTTGTGTCCGTCCTACGTTGGCAGGTGCAGAGCCAAGAAACAATGACTATGTACAAGCAGTCTACTGGATACAACCTTCCCTCTTCTGGTGCCTGTTCTCGGAGGCCTGCGGGAGACGATCCCGCATTTTGCCCGCAGACCTATGTATTAGGTTTGTATTGGGTGGGTTATATGTTAATTAATATACTGGGGGATCCTGCTTGACAAGCCTCTGTTTCTTGGGACCCCCCATCAACATTTCTTTATTTATTCATGACATATTGTAATTAACAGTTATGTTGTAAATAAAGAATGAATGAATGACACCTCCCCGATCGCCATACGCCTGATCTCACCGATGTCTGACACAGTGACCCACTGCAACCTGCTCCATTTCTGGCCATGCCCTGGTGATGACACCGTTTGCATTTTGACCCATTACTGCATTTCTCCTGTCTGCGTCCGCGCCTCGGGTGTACAAATTTACCGAGCTTTGCGCTGTGGTGGATTCTACATGCATGTTATTATCCTGTAATACTGCACTTTTCCGGGGGCTTTCTCGTACTACTGTACGTTGACACACGTACAACAACTTTGACCTATGGTGCTTTCTCCACAAATCTTCCACACAGCCTGACTATGTCCGGTTCACTGTCCGGATGTGAGTTCTCCCCTTGTGGGCATGTCCAGATGTTTTGACTGTTATGAGGTCTGACAGAAGTGGGTCTACCATCGGCCCCAAATTTTGTCACACTGACACCTCGTGTTATCTCTTCCGGTTACGCCCTGCGTGATTGAAACAAAGAGCAATACTTGACTGGTATCGTTCTATATTTCCCTAATATTACTTTAATTCCTTTGCCAAAGTAATCGGACATCCTCAATATGGTATTCTTCTGTCTTTTTCCTATCCAGGAATGAAGTTTCTTTCTTGTAGCTGTAGTTTCCAGAAGCTTTTTTTCTGTGGATAAGTGGCTAAATTAGTCCAATCTTATCATTCTCTTCTCAAGTTATAAATGAACTGATAATTGTTAATTACTGAAATATTGTTACTAACATGATTGATTTTGTTTCGTGATTGTAATATTGAATATACTATTTTAAGTAGCTTTTGCATAGATCAGACATGATATTTTGTCTCGCAAATGCGCTATTTGTTCATGGAAATTCATGAACTACACTTCGCACTGCCAGGATAATGTGGGGTTTTATAACTGCAAAGTTCCTGGAAATGGATCAGCGCAAATATGGGGAATAATTTCCTCATAAAATTCCCCCAAGGTGTTTACTTTGGAAGTGGCAGTTGGCCTATGGATGCAGTTGGAGAAAAGCAAAAAACAAAAAGGGGCTTTCAAATTCATCTTATCTTGATACAATTACCACAAGCAGCCGATTCATTGTGTCAGTGCTATATTGTCCTATTTGAAAACTTGCACTAAGAGCTATGTATTGAAAAATATTGTTTAAACATGAATTTTGGGATGAAAAAGTGGTTGAAATTTAAATATTCTTGCCCTAAAAACTAGTTTGAGAAAGGAGCCCATTGTAATTAAATGTTACTTTCATACAAAAGGAATGTGCAGACATGTACGAAATCCACAGCGAAAACCCAGATCGTCACAGAGGATTTTGATGTAGTCGAGTCAAAGTGCCGGGGTGCCATGGGTGATGAACGTATAACACTAAATCCTTTACGGACGTCTCAGAAATCACAATGGAAATTCATCCAATCCCAAAATTTGTTAAGGGGGGGAGAGTTTGAGTTGTCATTGAGGATTTTAAAATCTGTTGCAGTGAATTTTGGGGAAAGCATTTCAGTCTTAAAGTGACTTAGACAGGACGGGATTGTCAGAAAATGGGCAAGTAGTATGGGGGCCAGGTATATGTTCCTTCGTCTCAGAAAAGAGTTTTAGTTTTACCAAAAATTGCAGTTCGCCTTCTGGAAAACGGTAGACCTACTGCTTTAGACGGACTAGTTTGCGGTATATATATCTGTAATCTCAACCAATCAATTCCAAAATTATACATCAAGGAATTCAAGATGCAGTTTGTATTATTTCATGCCATGTTTGAGTGATACCTCCATGCATTTTTCCGGTAGTTGTGACGTTTGCAAATTTTGCATAATCTTCGGAGCAAAATGGAATTGTGGTTAAAAACTCTCCACCGATGGCAGCCAAATTTTCGGGAATAATAAAACAATGCGGTCGATCGTTGGTTCTGGTTTGTGGTACGGCATGATGGAGGTACTTCGTTTGTCACTCGCTCCTAACGGTTTACATGTACTGCGAGGGATACAGAACATTCGCTTGTACTTGTCTCGAACTTCACTCGTTTACTGCGCACAAACTCTTGGGTGTTTACCGAGGGCCTTCGCTCGCAAGTTTCCGGAGAACGTTTTGGGCTGTACTATATTGTACACGCATACACAAAGCTGGAGCGACAGCCCTGCCTGTGGAGTGGTTCACTATACGTTGTCGGTCACTTTACGGTCTGCCGTCACAAGCCCTGCTGAGATAATGAGTTCCGGGGTCAGGCTTACCATGCATTGGACAAGCAATGCACGGTAAAAACCACAAAGTGTGCACTGAACAGCATGTCTGGTTCACTGACCGTGTTAGCTAAAATTTTGACCTGTACTGTAGATGTTGTCAGCACCAATTTTTTTGTTTTGCTGAGTTTTGTTGTGTTGTGGCTACAATCCTGGACAAAATAATTGGAACACCATGTGGGAAGCACGTTGAAAAGATCCCCCCTCTCCCCCATTCAATGTTGCAGTCATTTATTGGACCAAGATTCATCCCAGCTTACCCAATGAGAAACATTGACGTGGTGATGGGGAGGCATGTTCCAACAAGATTTTTCTAGGAATGTGGGCAACATGTCATGCTGTCATGCATGTCTTTGGTACAACATTTATGGTGTATGTCATTGAAAGCTTAAAACCTTGTTTAATTTTATATTCATAGGAACTTACTCACTTGATAAGGCTTCCGAAGCTGAAACATTTGGGCTTAAAGGACCCATTGTATGCTCCAAACCCTGTGTGCTTCCTGTGTAACTATTCAACACATGTTCTGTTTCACCTGCCCTTCCTTGAGAGATTGGACTCGTATGATGTTTCCAGTAAGAGTCTGAGAGAAATGGCAGAGGTGAGAGTTTATTACCCTTGTTGTTCAAATATTATTAAAAACATCCCTAACTGTCCAACTTCTTTTTATGTTAAAATTTGTCAAGTTTCATTACGTTTTAGAGGATTTGGAAAATGAAACAACCAAATTTGGTTATTCCAAGTTAATTATAAAAAATTATTGTGTACTTGTGTAACTTGAGTTCTATGAACACCAAATTATACTGTACTTGTAGCTTGTGACAGATCATCTGAGTGTAACTTATAGTGCACCATAGTACTCATTGGTCAAATCCATAAAAAGACCAGCAGTTTTTCTGTCCCTTGTTGATAGCGGGCATTTTCAGAAATGACATTTACTCAGTAGAAGGTCTTTTGTGTTTGAATTAACTCAAAACAAGCCTTTTAATTGTTGGAAAATGTGGTAAATATCTTTTATTATCACATAGAGGAGCCCAGCCCCAGTGTACATATGTACAATGAGCAATTTGCGTCTATTCTTGTCTCTTTGCAGAGTGTCCATTATTAAACAAACCTCATTAATTTGTTGACTCTTCCATGACTTTGATGTGCAATTATGCAGTGTCTCAAAGTATATATCGGTCTGACAATCCTCTTTCCAAAATTGCTTGATAACATGTACATGTACACTGTATAAACAAATCTTACATTTCAGCCTTCTCTATTTGACTTCATCAGCCCTTGTTATTACAGAGTTTGAAAGTGAATTCTCTTTCTTGTCCTCTACATTAGCACCCATTCCATACTTTGTCTTCATTTTCCCAAAGTATATGTCATTATATAATAATGCCCATGGATATGAACCACTTGCTGCCGGGGACCCACTTTCGAGCACATACGCTTTATACACAGAGCCGGGGGCTGCTCGAAACCGGGACAAAAGAGTTAAGCCTTGTAACAAAACACTGTGCTTGACACAAAAGCTGAGCTGTTGGGCATTACCGGCATTTCTTCACTTTCAGTAGTGGAGATAATCCAGCCTTGTTTTGAAACAGTATACCACTGTTTGGGGCATTTAGAGCAAGCGGATTACCACTGGGGACAAAAGTGCTCCATCACCGCAGGGATGAGCTGTAGATGAGCCACACAGCACCGCTGCACGCTAATCTGGCCCCTATTGAAAAGAGGTCAGCAGCGCACTGTGCCAGGTGTGTAAACAGAAGAAAGTTATAAAACACTGCACAATCTGGGCTTTTATTACAAGGCTGCAGGCCTTGGGTATAAACGTGGGGGTATAAACGTCCGTTAAATGAAATAATGAATTTTTGAAGAATTTTGAAAACTGAAAATCTTGAAAATGACTCGTATGTGGGCACTGCATTTTTCAAAGCACCCCCGCAGCAAGTGGTTAAAGGTAATTAACTTTAAAAGATTTGTGTGGTATCATGTATGTCACACTTAGCTTGAATTTTTGTTGCATTGAAATGGAATGTTTTAAAACAAAACAAATAATATTCATAGTATTCTGAAAGGTCCCTATGTTTATTAACAAGAACACAACATGTTATAGTTGTATAAAAATGATTTATTTATGTGAACAGCATCATAAACATTTTTCCTTTAGGCTACAGTTGTGAAAAAGAAGATGTACTACAATATGCGCATCAAAACACTTCAGCGTATACAAGCAGACATGATACATCGCATCACTCGAGAGAAGCGGCATCTTACACATGGCACCAAGGACAGACTGAGAACTCTAAGCTTTAAAATTAAAGAGGTACTTTTCAGAATGTGATTAGTTTCATTTAATCATTGCATTATAAAATGCTCTTTTAGTTTCCTTGCTGAATCTTCAGACATTGCCTTGCTGTGACTGGAGTTTTTAATCCCTCAAAGGCAAGTGTTTACATTTTCTCTTTGCTTTTGGGGCCTCAGTTTCTTTTTCAGACAAGAACATGTGCTTTTTATCATTCTGTAATGAGGATTTGCCCTTGGAAAAGTGTATTCTTTTGTTGCTCAAATGAGAAGAAGTCTATATTAATGTAATGTAACCATGGCAACTAGGAAGTTGCTAATACCTTCCAACCAGTTTACTTCCCCAAAATAGCCTGTATTTTACCATGATGGTCATTTCTGACCCTCCCTTTTGCCTCAGGGAACCTTAAACACCCAAAGATCTGACGGTTTCATGGAGTGTGATATTTTAATCACTTCCTGCCGGGGGCTCTGGAATCGGAGACGTATGGTTT